TCCCATTATGTGAGAATTTCCTCAAACGAAAATAAACAAAAATTTTTAGAGTGTATATCTGAAGAGAATTGGAATGATGTAAATAAGGTCCGAGCACAAAACGTTAATGGACAATGGCCTAATTTTTTAAGTACTTTTAATAGATCTTTCAATTATTGTTTCCCGTTGAAGTTGACAACTAAAAGAAAAATCACTCTCATAGAAATAACCAGCAAGGTCTAGATATTAAAAATAAACTAAACATTTTACTTATACTTTCTAGAAATGATGCTTATTTTAAATCGCTTTATAACCAAACAAAAGAAGAACATGACAAACTCTTAAAAACATCCAGAGCTGAAGAATACAGACAGAAGATTGAATGTTCAGATAATAAAACAAAATGTATGTGGTCAATTTGCAACTACATTTTAGATAAAAACAGCAACAGTAATCTTCAAATGCAAGGTGACCCTACCGAAGTAGCAAATCGCTATAATGAGTATTTATTATCAATTATAACAGATTGTTTCTTCAATAATACAAGCGTTTCCTCAATCACTTAATATTTATTGAAGTTTTCTTTTTTCTATAAATGGACTGTATCTCACTTTGCGTGAACGTCTACCCCGTAACGCTACAAAATTGTTACTAGCCTAGCAGAAACGTAGACCTTGCCGGTTTGGCGTACAACGCCCTGTTGTCACATTGACTGAAATGTCCGGCATGTTTAAGATACACAAAATTAAAAAGAAATTTACATAATTTTGAACTCAACACAGATCTAATCAAACAATCAGAGCCTAAACAATTCAGCTGTAAAATACCAATTAACAACCAAACAATGTTCCTCAGATCGGTGTCACCAGAGGAAGTTACTGAAATAGCTAACAAAATAAAGAATAAGCACAGTAGTGGTTATGACGAAATACCTACAAGCCTAGTTAAATTATCATTATATATTATATTAACAATGTTCTTAGTCATTTATTAAAGAACAGTTTCAAGTATTGAATTTTTACAGATAAATTAAAAACAGCTGCAATCAAGCCATTATATAATAAGGGTGACCCGGAAGAAACGGATAGTTATAGACCATTCAGTCTTCTCTCTGGGTTTTCAAAAATATTTGAAGTAGCAGTATGTGGTAGATTTGTAGATTTCTTCATTGACTGTAACTTGTTTAGAGACCATCAGCATGGATATACGTCTGGCAAATCCACTGAAACTGCATTTCACTGGCATTTTTTTGGATTTGTCAAAAGTCTATAACTGCATCGACTCCTTTTAAAATATAGAATTGTATGGTATGCGAGGACAAGTGCAGGAACTGTTTAGATTCAATTTATCGAATAGAAAACGGTCTGTCAAAATTATGAAAAATGGGCGCCCTCACTACTCACAATCTAAAGAAAGGTTATATGGTATCGTACAATGCAGTATACTAGGATCAATTCTATTTATATTATATATAAATGACATCTACTCGATTACAGGACTAAATAGTGAAAGCATTGTGAGTTATGCAGACAACACAAACTTACTTGTGGGAGGTACAGATATTACTCAGGTTCTGGACAATGGTAGTAAGTTGTTTGGAAAAGGCGAAAATTAGTTTAAAGGAAACAAATTAATTTTAAATAAAGATAAGTCACACGCTATTTTGTTTCGAACGAAACAGTCCAAATTGCATAATCCACTCTATTTGGAATGTTATAAGCATATTAGCGATATAGTAGATAGTGTAAAGTTTTTAGGAGTAAATATATATGAAATAGTGGACTGGAATGGGCATATTGATAGTTTAATAAAACCGTTAAATTCTGTTTGTTATGGAATTAGAACAGTTAGAAGGTACATGCACCACAATACAACAAAAATTTTATATTTTGCCCACTTTCTGTCCATTTTAAAATGTGGCATTATTTTTTGGGGAGGGCACAGCCCAGTACAAAGATTATTTGTAGTTCAGACGAGAGTTATCAGGCTAATTAAAAAGATGAAGTGTGAAGATCATTGTAGAGAAATTTTGCAGATGGAAGGTTTATTGACAGTATACGGTGTCTATATTTACGCGTCACTCATTTTCTTTTTTAAAAATCGGGAATATTTCGAACTGCATTTATCATCCCATACGTTCAACAGTAGAACGCGAAATGTAAATTACCCAATACATAGATTAACTCTAACTGAGAAGAGTCCATACTATATGCGTAGAAGATTTTATAACAAGTTGCCCAACAGTTTAAAAGAAATAAATAGTTTGAAAAGATTTAAAATAAATATTAGGACACTTCTGATAGAATTGGAACCCCTTTCAATAAAAGACTATTTTGAGAAAATAATGTAAGAATTATTATATGTTATGGTTAATGGCTATCTCTAGGCATTAGAAGCTATTTCCGTTGTGTTCTTGTATTTTGTAATATACTAACACAATTTGAAATAAAGATGATTAATATTATTATTATGCAACAAGTGCGGTAAGCGGTACTTGACTCACGAGTTTATTTGACACGAGCGGAGCGCAGCGGAGCGAGTGTTTAATAAACGAGTGACTAACAAAATTTACCGAACGTGGTGCATATTATACTTTTTCTACGACCGTAAGATTTTGGCTTCATTTTCGCAAAACAACACGAATACATCCACTGACGACCGTCAGAATTGACAAACGTCAAAATTCAAAGTGTGGGAAATATCTTCCAAAACATCCAATTGCTCAAAAAACCCGTGCGTTAAAATCCCGGAAATGTCCGAAGTGGCTCGGATTTATGGAAAACGAAACTGACGTGATAAAGTGACGCCTCCGGCACGTTAGATCGGTGTGACGATGACGACTCTGATAGTGAAACATAATTAGATTTAGACATTCAGAATAAAAATGTAAATATGTATGAATAATCCTATTGTAATTTAATAAGATAATAGCCTCCTTTGAGAGACCGTCCCTAATGTTCTGTCCTTTCATGCCTACCGGGCCCGAGTTTTAGTGCATTCTGTAGGTGACTTTCATAATCATCCATCCATCACACATTCAAAAGATTATGTAAAAAAACTGTTTACAGTGTAAAAAGATTTTTGCAGTATTTAATGATTTCATCTTATTTAAAAGTTACAGTATACAGGGTGATCTAGATGAAATTTACTGTACTGAAATATAAACAAACCAGGATCCGTATTGATAAAATATATTTCTACAAGAGCTCGGTGCCCCTGCAATACTACGGATCGTTCTTTTCTGTGCTGTGCTTCCGTGTTGTGGACGAGATTCAATGTGACAGTAATCTATTTGTAATGATTGTTAATATTCGAGTTCAACCGAAAAATCAAGAACTATCAGTGATTTTTATAGCTAAGATTCGGATCTATCAGAAAACCTAAAAATTTAACATTCTCAGCTCCAGTGGCTTGGACAATTACCTATCTTCAAAATAAAACTAAAACACTCTTTTCTGACCGTGGCGGAATCTTAAAAACGTTGTCTTGTCCGGATTTAAAAATGAACTATTACTGTTAAACCAGTTATTGACGTTGCTTAATATATCGCTGTATCTATTCTGCAATAAAAGATCGCACCTATCTGAAGTGAAAATGGAATCAGCATATGGTGCGAAATATAAATTTGTAGGAATGGTTCGTTCATCAATCATATAGAGTGTACTTAGGACCTGTCCTGACCTAAAACCGATCCTTGTAGAACACCTATATCAATATGAACTACAGACGAATAAATCTGACAACCGAGATTATCTTTGTCACTAAAAATACTGGCATACTATTTGCGCTCCTGCAAAAAGGAATCCATTCAGTTAAGAACAGTATCTGTAATCCTATATGGTAACAACTTCCCCAAAAGAGTGCGCCGATCAATACAATCAAGTGCTCTACTGAGATCAGTAATATTCCTTCATTTCAACTACCTAAAGTCGGACTTTACTAAATTGTACTTACGTAAATTTAACTAGTTTCTGACTTATTTCGAAAATTCGCAACAAACTATACCGCTTAATGCATTTTTTAGGGGCATAGATCCTAAATTAGGTAAAAACATTTCCACACTTTACTCTTAGAAGCTCAATCGACAATTCGTAGGGAATTTTGGTTTGATGCCAACAAAATTCTAGAACAAGGAATCACACGATATTCCACTTCTCCATGCTAGTCACTTCTCGAACTTCACGGAGCTATTGTTTCACTTGAATCGTATTAAGTATGCGATTTCTTAATAATGCTAACAAAATTCACACATGAATCTGGACGAATGGCCTATCGTATTATTATTATTAGTAAAAATTTATACCTACGTAGAAAGAAACTAGACAATCTTTAGGTGATCCGTTATTAGTTTTAAAAAACGCTGATCTGAGAAGTCTACACTATTTGTATATTCTTGGTTGTATTGTTCGTCGAAGTTTGTAACACCATGTGAATGTTCAGAAACAAAGGTACTTCGCGCGTTTGGTTTCCATTGGAACTAATTATTTCAATTTTGACATGGGTTGCGTCTGATGGAAGGTGTCCTAGACGTTGTCTACAAAGTTCATATTTGGACAAATCTCATCGATTTGTCTGTCCGGGCTTAAATTCATTTTTTGTTTATAGAAAACTTGGCTATTAGTAAAATATTTTCAAGGGGAAAGTCATTTGAGCCTCGCATTGAGCTGGATCACTTGTAGATTTTTTTGGTTAGTTTTGGTTAGTTGGTTAGTTAGTTGGAACCAAAATGAGTTTTGAATAAAGGATTGCTTATATATATATATATATATATATATATATATATATATATATATATATATATATATATATATATATATATATATATATATATATATATATATATATATATATATATATATATATATATATATATATATATATATATATATATATATAATTGATTATATGCGGATTTTCTTCAAAGAGTGGCAGTAAAGAGGGAGTATTTTTAAAGGAATATTTTCATATATTTTTAGGATACAATGTCGCTTTTATTTACAGTATTATTAAATTTATTACAGATAGCAATACAGAAAACTAGGCATGGAGGTGATTCATCGGAAAGCTATAATGTGGAGTGATCCAGCTAAAATAACTGCATTGCTCTTTCTTCCCGTTTCTGCATATTCCGTATCCTCTCAAGGTAATATTAGAAAATCATAATTTTCTTCTTGAAACAATACAAATTGTGTCATTTTTGGAGTAGTAGTCTAGCAAGCGACCAACAAATAATCAATTTGTAGAGTTGATTCGAAAGATGCGAAATTTGAAGTTATTCAGACAATCTTCGCACAAAAATATAAATATATAAATTGTGGATAGTCTATGCATGGTCGAATAGAAATTCGTATAAAGTTTTCGTTCTTAGTGATTTTAATATACATGGTGAATGTTATTAAAAAACTGGTCCGTCATGTTGCGAAATATCTAATATTTCCAAATGTGTTACTTCTCCAGAATATTGTTGTTGTGAAAATAATGACATTTTATTTTTTAGTTTAAAATTGGCAAGTATACTCTTACTTGTGTGAGGCTGTCCTCTAATGATATCGCTTTGTTATAAACACATTTCATAAACAGTCACACTAGTGCAGCGAATATCAAGTTCTTGGACATGTAAGTTTGTAAGAGCTGTGCGGTTTCGCAGTGTGAAAGTACAACTATAATAACTCCAAACAAATTACTTCTGTACGTCCCACAAAACCAATTCTCTGACTTTTCTTTGTGACGATGCTTTTGAGGCAAGGTTTTACCAATCCACTAAAAGATTGTTTTTGTCCTGTAGGAGATCTGACTTTTATTTCTAAATTTTGAAGTTAGGATTTACAATACCACTGTTTATAATAATGGGTAATTTATTCATATTACCGTGTATCGTGTAACGGAAATTTTGGATGTCAATGAAAATAAAAAAAACGTACATCGAATTCGTCAGGGCGACCATATTTTACCAAAAAACAAAGACAGATATTAATTAGGCTCAAAGAGTTGGAGAAAAGAACTGTAACTATAAAACATATTGAGCTTAAAGAGACTTCACTTGGAAGTTCAAAAGTGCTTTTTCAGTCAGTTATGTTAGCAAAATATTGAATGAAGAATGGTCATTTGCTACCTAGTGGACTGCGGTCTTTAATTCTAAAATTAACTAAACAATTAAAAAAAAAATTATATAAGTTGTATTATAGGCAACTTAAAAAAGAATTAACACTGTCATGTATTGTGGTATCCTGACTCGAAATGGTTTAGTTTAGTGAATTACATTTCTTTACGTTATGGAGGAATACAACTTTCTTATTTGCACTGCAGTTGCAATCAACTATACAGAAGTATTCCTTTCAAAGCTCTGTCAAATAAATTTGCAGCTGCACATTAAACTCCTGGGTGGTTTTACCATTTTTCACATAATTTTTGTAAATGCAAGTCTTTGCACAATTACGAAATTTAATTTCAATGATACTTGGATGCTTTTCAGAACATGTTTTTAAAATTTTTTCCCCACTCTAGCACTGACGGGTTTTTCACTCTTCCAATATTCTGCCGCGCGGTGTGTGCGTGTCCACTCATTATTAAAGAGATTGGAGCTCCATCGTTCATTTTAAACCAACTAAATTCGAATGCTGCCTCAACTTATATAACATCACCATAAGTGTTTTTTCTTTTCAAAAAACCGTCATAAATTGCTTTTTGGGAACACAAGGAGAGAAAACTGTTAGTTGAGATTAACAGGATCATTGATAACCGTCGTTGAAAATAATTAACAACTGATAGCACGCAAGTTCAAAGCAGGTTTTCAGAAGGTTTAAAGCAAATAAAAAAATGTTTCCTTGGAAATGGTAATTTGCAATGATTAGTTTAGATAGCAGTATTATGCAATTTGATTTTGTCAAACAAAATATCCATCTAACTTTTTATATGAAAACAAATTTTCCAAAATCAATGAAGATGAGATAGGTACATAATTTTGATGAATCTGTTTTACCCTCATCATGCTTATTGGACAAATTAGATGCACCAATTTTTTTGTGTTCCTTAATCAGTTCTGTTTTTTCTACCCCTGTGGCGTTTCTTTTACATAAAATGTTAAAAGTTATTTTCTTTTCTTTCAACAGCGATTTTTTTTTGGATGATGAGTATAATTCCACCTTCTTCTTGGCTAAAGTTGTCCCAGTCAAGTACGCTTTCACGTTTATTTGGTTGAAATGGGCTCCTTGAGGTCCAGCAAACCTATTAGCTTTTTCACTATTGCTTTTTGTCCAACTTCCATCTGCATTTGTTATTGGTGGATTCTGTAGAACAGGTCTCCTTATTGTTTTAGTTGATTTCCTTACTGAATTGCCAGTTTTGCTGTCATTTAATAATTTACCCAAATAATCGCCAAGTAAATTTTTTTATTTCTCTTTTGGTTTCTGAGTAGCGTTCTGTTATCAAAAATCTTATCTTATTTCTCAAACAGCCTGTTGAATGTCCATAAGAGAAGTTTCTGTTTCTTTATCTAACTGTTCTTCGTTTCTTACAGGGACTGAACAATTTATATTTTTTTCAAGTTGTAGTTTGAAGCAGGGCCAATTAGTCAATTTATTAACTAATCAAGGAACTAATTCATTTTGGATAATGGTATCGCTGAGTGTGACAAGGATGGGAGAGTAATCATAGTTCATGGGTACAAGTAATTGATAGACACGTTTCGAGTAATGAAGAAATCACTGAAATCTGGGATTTTAGGATCTGTAGGTCAATATTCGCGCTTCCCAGTTAAGAATATATCACATTTTAGTTCCCCAATAATGAATCTTTTACCATGACTGCAGTATTCTGCTGAAACTGCGGTCTCTCGTTTTAACATTAGCAGCCAAAGCTTCGAATTCTTGATGGTGTTTAAATGACTCCTTACCGGTACACCTAACGCAGCGCGGTTCTGTGCAACAGAACTTTTATGTATGTCAATATGCTTGTCACTTTTTGCACTGGGATCACAAGCCTCGATTTCCTTGATGGCAGGATTTCTACTCGAATACCCAGTATATCTGTAATTCCCTAGATCTCATCAATAATTTTCTTGTATTCTTGTATTTTAGTGTCATTAATAATGACATTTTTGTCGTTGATTTGAGCATTAGGTAATTTATTCACCTTCACTACATATGAAGTTAAACTTATTAATCTGGTCTACTATAGTAGGTACTTTTTTAGGTAAAGAATAATTTTCGAACCGTTGGAGCTACAAAATTGAAATTTGCTTCTTTTTTAATCCTCCACGAGGCATATAAACTTATAAGAAATGGCCCTGATTCGACGCCGGTATTCATCTTTTTTTCGCTATTTTGGACTATTTTTTGAATATTGCTATGAAACGCGATAAGTGTCCGAAATTTGAAGCAGTTGAATTCATATTTGGCACGCATATGCAGATTTGCCCCGTGACGGAACCTATTGAAAGTAGGGGGCTGGGGGTCGGGAAGTATTCTAAAAAAATTAAAAATCGCGTGTGCAAGGGTCTACAAAAACATCATTTTTCAAAATCGTTTACGACAACAAAAAAATTCTTGAATCAGAAGACGCAGAAGATAGAGCTACATCAACTTTTGTTCTTGACAATTTTTCAAAAATATACAGGGTGCGCCGAGAATTAAAAAAAAAATTGATTGAAAATTCAGACCTAACCTAGCTTTTATATTGCGATGTAGCCCGCATAGACTGCAAAAAATTTTGTATTTAAGATTTTCACCTATTGCATAGGGTGTTTCCGATATTCTGTGCTAAATGAGAAATGTGTTAAGTGTCATAAATTTCTGATATCAACTTCAAATTTAGCAGAGAAATAAAAGTCCGTGTCAACATTTAAGCGATAGAAATTGGGTGCAATCAAATTTTACCAAGGATATTTTAATAATTTTTGATTTTTCTTTTTGGTAATTTTAGCTTCACGCGATTATCAAAATTCTTTAACCAGCTGACGCGGAAGATCCAGTGCAATAACATTTATTTCAGGCATTTTTTCGATTATATACAGGGCTTTGAACTTATAGGCTGTTAGTGCAAATTGAAACATTTGTAATGCTGAATCGATATAAAATAAACTGGTAGCGGCCTGTATTTTGGCGACAAATTTGCATTAACATCCGGGTTATAGCTCAGTTTTTCAGCGTAAGTAAGAATGCGGCACATACTACAACAAGGGTTCGCCCTACCTTCTGCTGGCTCCTCTGGTAGTTCGCTTCTTGATGGTTTCGGGCGCGACACGCAATTCTATTTCCGGGCAATTAACAGGTCACGTACAGCGGTACCGAACTCGTGCGAATTATTCGACAATATATCGGCTACAGGTGCTCTTGTGCGATGGCGCTACTGTAGCCGCGCTAGAAGGGGCTCTTGAAAGTGCCGTTTGTTTTTCGCGGAGAAATATTTTATTTTAAATGTATTAAATGAAACTAAACAGTATAGAAATCTCTGCACGAACATTACCGGCCCCCGAAAAACCATTGGGTTTTTCAAAATAAAAGTAAGGTATAAAAAAAATAAATAAATATATTACGAAATGCTTCTCGTTCCGAAGCGATAAACCTAAACCCACTAAGGAAATATAGAAGAAAAAGAAAATATATTCCTAACAGCCCAATATATATTTTTTTCGACAACACAACACAAAAAAAAAGAAGAACATAGATTTCGCAATTTTTTTTTCAGGGAACAAAGTTTGGTGACCTGTCGCTTCTAGCACCCCGACGAGGTTTTTACCGTCATTGCGCGAGTGCGCCTATCTGCACCAGGATGCAACTCGATAATGCGACCTAGTACTCATTGTAGTGGGGGTCTATTTTCGGCTTTTATTAAGACCAAGCTATTTAATTTAATTTCGTCCCGCACAGCTGTCCACTTAGACCTTTGCTGAAGTATATTCAGGTACTCGACATGCCATTTTTTCCAAAAATGTTGATGGAGATTTTGCAAAAGTTGCCAGCTGGATAAGGTGTTGGTTTTCAAGTTGTTGAGGTGTTGACCGTGGATGGAATTCAGGGGTTCAATGGTTAAAAAATGGCTGGGTGCTAAATGTAAAAGAGAGGATCACTGCTCTGGGCACAGAGAGCTCTAGAATTAAGCACTGCTTCAATTTGGATGACCACAGTGTAGGATTCCTCGTAAGTT